CACATTATGTTCTGAAACTCTCAACAGATATGAAGATAAGACATTCTCCCCCAGACTTCTCTCTTTCTGCGCGCGTGTGTGTGTGTGTGTGTGTGTGTGTGTGTGTGTATGTGTGTATCTGTTTGAACGGTGAGCTCAGTTGACAACAGTAAGGACATTATTTCTACTACAAAAGTTCAGAGAGGAGGTGGGTAAGGTCACTAGTGTGGCCACAGCTGGCTTCATGTGTAAACGTTTGCAGCAGAGGGCAAAGGAGGCCAGGAAAGGAGGCTCTTACTAGAACTCGGAGTTCAGGAAGCATTAAGTGGAACCAGAGAAAAGATAACTGGAGTCTATAGAAAGAAAAACTCGAAGCACACAAACAGCACTCTCCTGGAAGGCAGCGCACACAGTGAACAACTTCCTTTCTTCAGTTTTACTGGACTAAGTGATAAGGCCTTTATCCTTTAGTTAAAAAAAATGAAGACAGGTTTTGCTTTTTGCTTTATTTGAGACAGTGTCCCTTTGTAGTCCAGGCTGGCCTGATATTTATTATGTAGAAAAAGCTGGCCTCAAACTTGCAGCAATATTGCTGTCTCTGCTCAGTGAGTATTGAGATCACAGGCATGAGCTACTGTCCCTAGCAGAAATAGGGTCTCCATGAGTTGCTCACATTGGCTTCAGTCATAATGCTGTTTCAACTTTCTAAGTAGCTATGATTACAGGTATCTGGCTTAAACAAATGTTCAAAAATAATGTTTAGGGTGATGGGTGTATTTACTGGCCACCTGGGGATAAGACAGAGTATGGACATACACAGGCCAACAGAGCCCCAGACACCAGCAGTGGGCACAGAGACCAGAGAGGCACAGGGGCTGTGGCCCAGGATAGAGTAGGGCCTGGGCCTGCATATGCACATGGGGCCCCAGGCACCAAGCAGTGGTGAGTGCACAAACAGCACAGGGCATCAGTGCTGCTCTTGGCCTGGATCTAAGAAATTTTTCCATAGCAAACAGCAATAAATGCAGAGGCCATGGCTGGTCAAATGTGGAGAACAAGAGATTGTTGAACCTCCTCCAAAGGTCAGGGAACACTATGGAGAAGGGGAGGGAATAACGCAAGAGACAGGTGATATGGAGTGCTGTCTCATGGCTGTGCCATGGCTTTTTCCCTCAGGGATTTGTGGCAGCTATGGCTGCACACATAGAGTCTGTATAAGACTGAGTCCTAAACGTTTAGTCACAGGTAAGGGAGTGGCTCATGGGCTAACGGCAGTGAGGGGTTTGGAGGTGAGGTCATCACTGTCTGCAGGGGTGTAGCCCCTGGTGAGCTGCTCATGCTCCAGTGCAGAGCTCTACACCCACATCCATGTGGGCAGCCCTGCCTGAGCCCAGTGGGCCACAGAGTAAAAGCAGAAACAAACCAGAAAGACATGGAAGTGGGATGGGGGCCTCGTAGGGGTGATGGGAGGAGGGGAGAGGAGAGGTGTGGGGATGACTGTGAGCAGAGGGAATTCTATACATGTATGCGACTGCTAAAGAATAAATTAGTACAAATTATTAAGCACTAGCTGAAATGTTGAAATTCTCTTTGTAAGACTTCCTTAGTTTCTAGAGGCACGAAGGAAAATGGACAGTACTGTCCTAGGAAGCTTGACTTAAATGCAAACCTCTTCGAGGGAACAGCACAAACACTCAAGCAGAACTGCTGTTTTCTCTGCCAGGATGGTTCCAACCCTTCCTGGAACTGAATCTACTGAACACAGAATTCCTCCACCTCAGTGTGATCTGTCCTGTTGTCTGTTTCTTTTGAGAGGAGGAGGAATGGTCTCCGCCTTGTGCTGCTGGGACTCGGCCTCTGGAGTCATGCTCAGTTTACAACTGTACCCAGACAAAGGAAGAATGACAGAGGCAAGGCCTGCCGGGCCTCCCCGCCCTCTCTTGTACTCACTTAAATGTGACATGCAGAAGGATCTTGGCAACAACGGCTGTGACTGTGAGGATGAGGAGGGTTGCCAGGCCATACACGGTCCATCCTGCAAGTGCAAAGAGAGCTCATCAGATTTGTTTGTCTTTATTTTCCAAAGGAGACTGGCAGTGCTAGGGGCTCTGTCCACTCTGCAGGTGGGAGCAGCCAGCAAACCTGGTAGTGGGAGTAACCGGAGCTGGGTTGAGCATGGAGCTTTCTTATGGCTTTGCCTTGTTCTGAAACTTCCTCTGTAAATTTCAAACACTGGACTTGGAGTCAAAATGGGTGTGGTGAATCTGTCTGCCACCAGAGCTCATCAATCAGTTACCTAGAAGTCTTTGGGTCCCAGTTCTCTATCTGAGCAATGAGAAGTGTGACCTATGAAATCCTGCTGGAATCCAGTCGAATGATGTGGGACTGGAGAGGCCTCCCTCCCTGACCTTCTATGGTGAGCTCTACAGAGGACAGGGAGAGTATGAAGACCTCATGATCAAATGATAGATGGTCCCAGCTCATTCAGAGACTATGCCCTCGACAGAAAAGGAGGGAAGGAGATCATGGCCCATGTCTCTTCTGCATGGCTTCTCTTCACAGCTCTTAGTGCTCCTGACTTTTGACAGTGTGTCTGGTTTTCTTTCTCCCACTGACAACCAAGGGAAACATGCACAGTATTGTCCTAGCATTCTGTGTGCACTTCACTCTGCAGAAGGGGAGGAATGTCTGGCCTATGCTGCCCACAGCTTAGAGACTAGCCTCATGTTTCTAGACAAAAGAAAGGCAGGGGTTTATCTAGTTCAGTGTATGGTCCAGTGTTTAGAACAGTGCATCGGGGACTGGAGAGATGGCTCAGAGGTTAAGAGTATTGCCTGCTCTTCCAAAGGTCCTGAGTTCAATTCCCAGTAACCACATGGTGGCTCACAACCATCTGTAATGGGGTCTGGTGCCCTCTTCTGGCATGCAGGCATACACATAGACAGAATATTGTATACATAATAAATAAATAAAAAAAAAAATAGAACAGTGCATCGTATCACGGAAGGAATTCTGTGTCTTTTGTTTTATTGTTTCTCTCCATTTTGGTGCATGTTCTATGGCTAAGCTAACCTCTAGCCTGTATGTACCTTCTGAATCAGCTCTACCCTGGGGCTCTAGAAAGATGCTCCCAGAATGATGTCTTTTCTTATAATGATGAAGAAACCAGCATAGCTGTTAATCACAGTTGCCAAAGGCACACAGAGTCTGTCTTTGGAAGGACCTAAGTAAGTTGAGGAGAACATTTCTCTCAAAGGTCATGCAGACTAGAGGTTGCAGAGCCAATATCCTAACCTGTGTCTGAAGGAGAAGCACCCACAAGCACCTTTGTTTCTGTAAGGGTTGAGGGAACTACCTTCCACTCTGTGGCCGCTGGCCCCAACTGATGGTGCCCAGGAATGGCTACCTGGGACAGTCTGCGGTGGGTGGCTGGGGCTGGTGGTGATGACATAGAGGACTTTGGAAGAATGGGCAGCACTGATGCTGAGGTTGGCTTGTTCGGTGATCACCTCTGTCAGTGTCTGGTTGACTGGAGGCCTCTCCTGTGGTGGTTCTTCCTTGGTGGCTAGAAGATCAAAAGGATTAACCAAAGTCAAGGAAGACAGCAAGAAGGAGAACACTGCTCTAGTTGGGATGAGGCCTTTTCTAGTTTTCTTTCTCTGTTTGTGAGAGAATGTTTTGCATGGGTATGAGTGCACATGCATGTGGGGTGCATGTGTGTGGGTATAAATGCATGTAAGGTTCACATGTCTGGGTGTACATGCATGTAGGTACATGTGTGTGGGTGGACATGCATGTGGGGTACATGTGTTGCAGGCACACATGCATGTAGGGTACATGTGTGTGGGTGTATGCATGTGGGTGCAAGTGTGGGGTACATGTGCATGTGGGATACATGTGTGGGGGTGCAAGTGTGTGGATGCATATGCATGTGGGGTGCATGTATGTGGGTCTCATATAGCCCAGGCTAGCCTTCAGCTATGTAGTTGAGGATGCCCCAAACTTTTAATTTTCCTGCCTCTACCACCCAAGAGCTGGCATTACAGGTATGTGCCAGAAGTGCTGGATGAGGCCTGTTCTGATTCAAGTATACATGCAGTTTCCTTTGCTGGTCTCACTGATAACAAAGTAGAACCTGTCAGGCAATGGCAGGTAGTGGCTATGCAGGGGTGGAAAGTAGAGACCGCTGATTCTAGTCATGAGACTGGTCTCTCAGACACGGAACCCCTCCTTTGTGCTCTGCAGCACCTCCTTGCTATGACCGATCCAATCCCACCTGCCCCATTAATCTGCACCACTTACTACAGCCCACTACCCTAACTTTTCTTGAGTTGTGCAGTTCAATACCTGTGCTTCTCAGGGGCTAGCAAAGGCTCATGTCTGCACATGTGTTCATATCAGAGGGGAAGAGTATACGTCTCTGAGGAAAGATGGCAAGTAAGTTTGTGGGACTGCCTGGGATGTTTAGAAGAAGCAGGATGGACGAAGTGACCATTTAGGAGCCTTTCGTCTGCATCCATCTCCTTTTATCTATCCATTTACTTGTCTATAAAACTGCCACTAACACTACTAAATCAGGCTGAAGAGATGGCTCAATGGCCTGCTCTTTCAGAGGACCTGAGTTTAGTTCCCAGCACCCATGTAGGGCAGTTCACAACTGCCTGACTATTCCTCTAGCTCCTGGTGATCTGGTGCCTTCTTCTGGTCCCCAAAGCAACCCACATATCTGTGGCATACACTCACAAAGAAATACATAAAATCTAAAATAAACAAAGATATTAAAATAATGAAATTGAAATATAAACCAATTGTGCACTGAAAGGTGGGAGTTGTGCACTGGAAGGTGGAGAGTTGTGCACTGGAAGGTGGGGAGTTGTGCACTGGAAGGTGGGGAGTTGTGCACTGGAAGGTGGGGAGTTGTGCACTGGAAGGTAGGGAGTTGTGCACTGGGAGGTAGGGTGTTGGTCACTGGAAGGTGGGGAGTTGTGCACTGGAAGGTGGGTGTTGTGTACTGGAAGGTGGGGAGTTGGGCACCGGAAGATGGGGAGGAATCAGTGTTGAGATCATCTGCAGCTGAGTCAGTAGGTCCATGTCTGCCCCAAAAGAACCACTTTAGGCTTGAAAACCCTGGTAAGAAAGAGAAGGCCAAGGCACCTATGTTCCCAGAGACAAGGATGTCTTACCTTGGTATAAGACAGCAAATCCCTGGGCCTGATTGATGTGATCAGAGAAGAAATACAAAATGACAAAATCCAGGGAAACATTAAAGGATAAAGGCGGGCGGTTCCTTCCATTGAAACGGACCAGGACATGGTGGGTGTAGCCATCCAGCAGCTCCACCATGTCTGCGGAATCCCTGATATCAAATAAGGTGAAGTTGAAATGGATATGGGAGGCTCCTGGGACCCGGATAGTCCAGTAGCAGACCCGCCCGGTGGCGTAGGTGTCTGGGAAGTCAGGAGAGTAGACCACGGCTGCCATGGCTGAGTAGTTCCCACCGCAGGCGCCCACGAGAGCTGCAGAGGAGAAGACAGTGGGCCTGAGTCTCAGCCTTGGGCTCCTCTCTAATTCGGGCACAAACTCCTAAGAAATGTGATCCTATTAGGGACATTGTTTCCAGCTACAAAACCAGACCATCTTGGGTTTTAGGATCAAATCACAAAAGGAATCACTTACACCCTGAACGAATGCCTGGGTAGACTATTTGGTTTCCCCCAGGAGACTGTGCACTTAGTGCTCAGAAGAGCAGCCTACACTGGGGTTTGGCTGGAGTCAGGCAGTCTGGATTCAGGACCAGCAGAGCCATGTGATCCTAGGGGCTGCACCTCATTCCCAGGCCTCTCACTTGTGTTTCCAGTTCAGGCCACCACCTGCTCCTGTATCCTGTGACAGTGAGAGGACACGAGATAAAGAGCATGACTCTGGGACCTCCCGGCAGAGGAGGGGCTTTGCAGACTGAAGTCCTCAAGGGAAGGGCCTGTGTCTCCTCAGGGCTGCAGGACCTCAGAGGCACAGTGCTCGCTTGAGGGGGAACAAGTGCCTAGCATGTGCGGCCATGGCTGGATCCCCAGAAGCACCCAAGGGGAAGGAGGGGGTGAGCCTAGATTCAGGAGGCTCTGTATCAGCTATGCTTTCTCTGGACTTATTTTTGATTGACAAGTCTTTAGAAAGGTGATACAGCCACTTTCTGTCTCACCACGACCTTGGAGATGAAAGACTGCAGGAGGGAGTACAGGAATAGGATTTAAAAGAAAGCTTATTTCTCAGTGCTGGAATGGGACCCAGGGCCATGAGCAGGCTCAGCAAGCACTCTTCCACTGAGCTACAACTCCAGCAGGCGTTAGGGGAGTTCTTCTCTATTTAGTACACAGAGAAGGAAAGAAAATATGCTGCTTTGTTGGCCCTGGTGGTGGAGACTGTAGTTCTAATGCGGAGGAGGCTGAGGGCAGGATGGTCAGTTCAAGACCCTGTCTCAAAACACCAAACTCTGGTGAGAGCTTAGTGGTAGCGCCCCTGACTAGCATGTGTGTCCCTGGGGTTGATCTCTAGCACTGGGAAAACAAACAAAGCAAGCTTCTTTCTCATCCTAGGAATGAGAAAGCTCAAGACCAGAAGCTGAGGTCTCAAGACAACCAAGGAAATTTAATACTAACAAGTATAAATTGGGCCACAGAATCGGGCTCATCTGTGCCAGAGCACAGGAGAGAGGTGACCACCACAGAGACAGCTGCAGTTAAAACTATAACAGGTTCCCAGGGGCCGCATCAGCCTGACTTTTCCACTGAGGGCACTGAGAGCCTGAGATACTGTGGGTTTGCATTCACTTGCAAGCTCTTCTGCATAGGCCTCCCAGCACTGGCAGGAGTGACCCGTGTCAAGCAAGCCAGAGTTCCACTTGGTGGCACAGGCGTGTAGGAGGTGATAGGTTGTTGCTAAGGGGCAAGCCTGGAACACCTCCTACTTCCCGGGCCCTCCTCTCAAAAGAGGCAAAAGCCTCCAGTTGCTGGGAGAGGGCAGTTAGTTCATTGCTCCCAGGGCCATCAGAGAGAGGCAGATGTGAAATATGTTTGTGCCTGGGGAGGAAATAGGAGACTACTTTCTTAGTAACAAGGTAAAGGCCCACTGCTTCTGGGAGAAGCAAAGACCTCAGCCCTGGTTGCCTTAAGGAGAGAGCAGCATTCTTTACCAAGTTCCACCAAAGACCAAAGTGGCGTGTGGCTGCCAAGGGGATGGGGGGATTGGCGAGCCACTGAGATCACCTGATCCCGTGGCTAGTGGATGAAGATAGGCAGGGGAACCAGCAATCCCCATGGCTTTCCACAAAGAGCACCAAGTAACAGACAATGCCTACAAGGGCAGGACACAAAGCTGAGCGTGGAACAGAATACTAAAAACCACTATTCACTCTACTGTAACCACAACTTTGGGGATCTGAGGGTGCCTGCATCAAAGGGAATGACAGACAAACAACCCAAACCTAGCTCAGCTACTGACAGACCCAGCCTAGTTCCCAAACTAAGCAGGCCGCCCAAGTGTAAATGCTATTTACTTTAGCATCTACCATTCCACCCACACTGTGTGGCATTAAACAGAATACCACAGCACACACATAAAAGCAAGACAACATGGGGAAAGATTCACTGTCAAGATAAAAAGCAATCCACGAACAAAATGCATGAGTGACCCAGATGTTGGAACTGTCAGCCACGGAGGCTGCAGGAATACAGTACAGCTTATAGTGAAAAGAAAGACGCACACTGGGACAGATGAGAAACCCAGGACGGGTGTGGGCACTACAGGAAGAGTTAAGTGAACAAGGCATGTACTACAAGACTGTAATTTTGGCACTTAGAAGACAGAGGCAGGAGAATTATAAATTTCATGGCTACATGAAATTTGAGATCAGCCTTGTTTCAAAAACCCAAAGGAATCAAATGTTGGGACTGGAGAGATGGCTCAGCAGTTTTGAGTGCACACTGCTCATGCAAAGGACCCAAGTTAAGCTCTTAGCACCCATGTCAGATGGTTCACAACTGCCTGTAAATCCAGCTCCAATGGACCTGAAGCCCTCTTTTGGCCTCCACTGGCACTGTTCTCTCTCTCTCTCTCTCTCTCTCTCTCTCTCTCTCTCCTCTCTGTCTCTCTCTTTCTCACACACACAAACCTAAAAATAAAAACAAACAACAACAACAACAAAACCAACCAATCAAACAAACGAACAGGGCTGGAGAAATGGCTCAGAGGTTAAGAGCACTGACTGCTCTTCCAGAGGTGCTGAGTTCAATTCCCAGCAACCACATGGTGGCTCACAACCATCTGTAATGAGGTCTGGTGCCCTCTACTGGCCTAGGATATATGTAGGCAGAACACTGTATACATGATAAATAAACAAATCTTAACAAAACACAAATGAACAAACAACAACAAACTAACAAGATGAGGCCAGTGGAGGAGACACATACTTTTAATCCCAGCACTTAGGAGACAGACACAGGCAGATCTCTGTGAGTTTGAGGTCAGTTTGGTCTACAGAGTGAATTTCAGGGCAGCCAAGGACATCTAAGGCTACATAGAAAAGCCCTATCTTGAAAAACCACAAAACTAAACTAAATCAAAATAACAACAACAATAAAACCAAAACCCCACAAAAAATAACAAAAAACAAACAAAAAACCCAGAGTCAAATGTAAATACTAGAAAAGAAATTAAACAGCATCGGTGGTGAAGCAGTCCTTTGATTTACCTGTACACAAAGCACAGCTGAGGAGAATTAATAAAGACACATCAGTAAAACATATTATCCAAAATGAAACAGAGAGGAAACAAAAAGAACAGAGCATCTAACGTCTGCGGGGGGTGGGGGGTGGGGTGGCAGGGCTAACCATGCGACCTGTTCTGTGTGAGCGCACACAGAACACAGCTTCTGTAGGCCCATATTTCATAGGAGATATGTGCAGTCAGGTTCTCTGGCCACACTTAGATCCAAGGGCAGCTGCACTCCTGCCAGACACCTGTAGCCACCTAACAAAAGGCTCAGGATGAACCGCTCCTTCTCTTTGTTGTTATGTAGATCGCCTGCGAAGAAGTGTGGATCCTAAGCTGGTGACTAAGTTGCAGGTACTCCCCCGCCCCCATACCCGGGATAAAAAATATCAATGAGTTTCCACCTTGGTTTACCTGGGGGAATAAACGGTTTGACGAATAAACGCGGATGGTCTTCAGGAATAAAGCCTGAGATGCCCTTCCGATATTGCTGTGTGGAACTGTGTCTCATTATTTCCATGCCGCCGTATTAGTCCAGTTAGGAAAAAGTAGTTTTTATGTTGGGGTTTCAGACCCCGACAAGCTTCCGTGGACCAAGAAAGAAAATCATCAGGGACACTGGGCATCACTGACCACAGACTTTAAAGCACAAAACTGGATCAGTTATATTATGATCTATTTATTTTGATATTGTTAATAAAAGGAATCCTAGCTGCTAAAAAGAATTAAAGCTGGCAAACTTGGGCTCACCTTGGCTCTGGTGCTTACTAACTGAGGTAACTCACTTTATTTTGGGGTTTCTTTGTTTTGTTTGTGTGTTTTTTTTTATTTTTGTTTTTGTTTTTTGAGATAAACTCCTACTATATAGCTAAGGCAAGCTTTGAGGTAAACACTGTATAATGTCCAAGTTAGAATCGCAAGAGATCTGTTATAAACTGGGCTGGACAGTTATGCTATACGATGAGTGAACTGTGTCCCCCGAAAGGATGGATTCAGTTTCTACTACTAGGGTCTTTACACACTAATCACATTAAGATGATGTCAAAATGGTTAGAGAGGGTTTTATGTACTGTGGCCAGAGCCTTCATGAGACCCACAGAAACAGACAAACAAAGTGGGAAGATGGCAATGTTTGGGAAAACAGAGGAGTGGGTGAAGCAGCTGTAAGCCAATGGAACCAGAGATAGTTGGTGATGGTCGGAATCTGCAATATCCCCTACAGGCTCATGTTTTGATTTCCAGTCCCTAAATGGTAGTGCTATCTTGGAAGGGGTGAGCAGCTGAGGGTTATATAGTACACTAATACCTGGCTCTGGTACCTTCTATGATCCCTGGTCTATCACCATGTGAACAGTCTCTGCCTCATGGTCTGGCCACCATGAACTGAACTGTTCTGCCCTTTCCTTGCCATGACAGACAGAGCCCCCCGAAATCATGAGCTAGACTAAACACTTCCTCCTGGAAGCTGCTCCTGTCAGATATTTGGTTAAAATGACGCAGAAGTAACTAACAAGAAACTGGTACTAGGAACCAGTTCCCAGGAGGAGGGTAGAGGGTGGAGATGCAAGCAGCAGGAGTCTTGGAGTGGTGTCTGTCTACTTAAGTGGTTCTCGTGAACGCAGGAGCCAGAATATCAACAGAAGTGAGTGTGAGGCCTGCGAGGCTTCGGGTCACAACAACGGCTCTCGTGAGCAGAACTGTGGCCTGTCCTGTGCATCCTTGCATAGATTTTGTCTATGTCCTACTGTATCCTGAAAATCTGAGTGAGGCTAATTAAAAAATAATGGAAAATAACTCAGCAGAAAAAAATGAAGACAGTACAGTGTTCTGCTTGTAACATGGTTATTATGGGTGCCTTTTAACTAGGTTTATCATGAGATTTCAGAGAAAAAGACACAGAGCAGAAAATGAGAATTAAACAATTTGGTCAGAAATGAGTGTGTTTAAAGTCACAGACAAAGCAAATTGGAAGAAGAGGCCACAGTTGCCAAAGACAGGAATGCCACTTTGAACTGAGACAACAAAGTTCTTTAATGGCATTTCAGGAAGTGGCAAACTGTCACCCACCAAAGGCTCTGGGTGTATTTAGGAGGTTTTACAGGAGAGGGGCAGCCAATGTGCCTTGCTAGAGAAGTGGTTTCCGAGCTTATGTACCCAGGCACTCAGGTAGCTACAGCCACAGTCCAAGCAGGCCTGGGCACATCACAGGCTGTCAGCAGAGCTCGCTCCGTAATATGGTACTGGTTTCACCGGCATGCCAAAGGCAAGACCTACAGAGTCATGGTGGTTTCACTGACATTCGTTGGTATTGTGCATGGGGGTCAGGGGACACCTCAGATGATCTTCAGAAGCTGTCTCCCTTGTTTCTTGAGACAGGAGCTTGCCAAGTAGGCTAGGCTGGCTAGTCACTGAGTCCCGGGACCGACCTACCTCTGTCTCCTAGTGCTGTGATGACAAGCAGGGGTCACCGTGCCCAGCTGGGCCATCGCCCCAGCCCTACCCAGGAGACTGAAGAAAGTCCCTGACAGACCATGCATGAAGCTATGAGAGTAAAGCATAAATGTAGTGGGGACTTGGGACATGCCAGGAGCATGGAATGTCTGCTGAGAAAAGCAAAGAAAGAACGTATGTGTGTTTCGAGCGGCAGGGCCATGTGGGCAGGGGTAACCAAGCCTGTCAGAGTCAATGCCATGATACATATCCGGACGGCAGCAATGAAGCACTAGGATTTAATATGCCTGGCTTTGAACTTTCTGTGGTTCACTCTTCCTGCTTTTCTGCTCCTGCTGTTTGGAAATGAGGATGCTGAATGTGTAACTCCTTTTGGTGTCATAAGGATCAGGGTTCAAAGTTTGCCTATGTTTTGGAAGAGACTTTAGACATTTGAACAGAGTGAGGTTGTTAAGATTAGGGTTGGGGGCTAGAGAGATGACTCAGTGGTTAAGAGCACTGGTTGTTCTTCTAGTGGACTTGAATTTAATTTCTAGCACCTATATGGCTTCTCATAACTATGTGTAACTCCAGTTCCAGGGGATCTGGCCTCTGATGACATCAGGCATGCATATGGTGCACAGACAAACATGCAGCAGAAGCACCCACAAGCAAAATGAAAAAAAATAAAGTCTCGGTTTCAAACAAAGACTGTGAAGACTTCTAAGTTGGACTAAGTGCATTTTGTACTAAGATGGCTACGAACTTGGGGATTCTGAGGTGACTGTTCCCACTTGAGTCTGAAATGTCTTTGCTTATTCCTCTGGTTGGGAAGTTATGGAATGCACACAGATGGAAGAAGTAAGCTCTTCCAACAGGCGGGCCTTTGAAGGTCATAGTTCACTGGCTGGTTCTGGCACTCTCCTGCTCAACTGACATATGAACTGTTTCTGCTATGCAGTCCTGCCATGAACCAAACACTCTATCACTCCCTGCTGCTGTAACGCCCTGAAACCCCTCTGATGCCACGGGCCAGAAGAAATCCTTTCCTGCCATAAGCTGCTTCTCTTCTGTGTGTCAGTCACAGTTTCTGGAGCCTTGGGAGAGAGCATGGCCTGCTGACATCTTGACTGAGGGCTTCTATCTTTGTGAGCGAGTGAGTTCCTATTGACTTAAGCCTCACAATTTGTGATCTTCACTATAGCAGCTCTAGGAAACAAGTCTCATGAAGGTTTTGTTCAAAGTGGAGTTCCCTGCCTAGTCAAGATGTCAGAAGTGCATGCCTGGTCCCTAGGCCGTCAAAGACGTGTAGATGGGCTGAAGACTCCTCAGTTAGTCTCTCTTCTGTGACTTTTCTTTCTAGATGTTAAAATCAGGTGCCATAGCTCTCATGAGGTCTCACCGAGTGTGTGTGGCTCAGGACCCATCCCTCACTTGGCACAGCTCTTGCTGGTGCCTCACAAATGTGGTGGGGCAGAGAAGCGGTGGCTCAGGCAAACGCACGGACAGGGATGGAAAAACAACTTCAAGTATTTGCAAAGTTATCTTCTCAGATACACACTGGTGAGGCCCAAAGCCCCAGTGCTTACAAACACACAAAGGGGGATGTTTTAACAAGAGCACGCGAGAGCAGATGCTCTATGGGAATGCAGGAATGCAGTCTCTGGGCTAACCTGAGAGCCTCGTCTTTCAGGTTGTCAAAGTAGCCCCAAGATGACCTGTGGGAAGCACAGAGGCTCTCCACGCACAGATGAGCACCAGGGGAACCAGGAATGATAAGCACACGGGGAGGGATGACTAACCTGTTATCCACCCAGAAGACTAGGAGGGAATGTGGTTAATAGCTTGGTGACCTATGTGTTGTGTGGCTGAGATCACAGTGGATCCTCCCCCAAACCTTTATCATTTATGGAAGATGTCACATGTACTTTAAAAAGAGTTTCGATGTAGTCACATCTTAAGCTTTATTGTGTACATGGGACTGAGTGGATTATCACCAGGAAAATTTTCACCAAATTGCGCAGCTTAAATATGATTAAAATAAACTACTTGGGGTCAGATGAAGTTTGAACCAACAGCAGCTACTGAGTCATGCTGAACTTGTCCCCAAGAATTGTTACTCTGCTGGCCATGGTGGTCTATGACCAGCAAAGACACTTGCAAATAGCCAAGCTTCTTAGAGCACTAGTCACAACTACAACCAGACATTGTTGTCTTTCTAGAAGAGGTCACAGTCAGCCTTTCTGTGCTTCAGTCCCAAGAGCTGGGTTATGGTTGGCATCACATGACAAGTGCTTCCTGAATACTGACGGGGAGTGAATAAATAAATGGAAAGGTAATGGGTAGACTTGCTGCCCTGGTCATGCCTTTGGCACCATACTCACTGTCAAAGAGGATAATCCTGCCGTCTCCACCACAGGGTTGCGTGTGGTCCCCAAAGCAGACACTATTGCACTCAGTGCTGGCTGCCTCCCCGTGCTTCCAGTAGTCAGGATTGTTCCCGCAGAAGCATGCGTAGCCCGACTCCATCCCAGCAAACTGCCACACGAGAAAAAGACTGTGAGGAATTCTAAGCTGGACCAAATGTCTTTTGCACTATGAGATGGCTATGAACTTGGGGGGTCTGGGGTAAATGTTATCACTCACTGTTGGGAATGTTATGGGGGGTAGTAGTGAGCAATCAGCCTCAGTTCCCTAGTCCACCCCTCTCCCGTGACCTCTCCTTAGTTTTACTGCCTAGTCTAACTAAGCTCCACACTACTGTGTTCTCTGTCTCTGAGAATTCCTTTCTAATGTTCTCATTCCCACTGCATTTAACTAAATCTTTAAGGAGGACAACATTCCTTAAACGTGAAATACTCATGAAATCAGCTAAACATTTTATTGACTGTTTACTATGTGCCAAGATTTTATTAAAAATGTTTTAATCTTTCAGCTGGGTGGTGGTGGCTCATGCCTTTAATCCTAGCACTCAGGAGGCAGAGACAGGCAGATCTTTGTGAGTTCAAGGCCAGCCCGGTCTACAAAGTGAGTTCCAGGGCAGCCAGGGCTATTACACAGTGAAACTCCGTCTCGAAAAACCAAAGACACAAAAAACGGAAACAAAAAAAAATTAACCTTTACTTTTATGTGTATGGGTGTTTTCCCTGTATGTCTGTCTGTGCACTGTCTGTGTGCAGTGCCTGGAGAGGTCAGAGAGAGGACACTGGATTCCTGAGACTGGAGTTACAGACAGTTCTGAACTGCAGTGTGGGTGCTGGGGATTAAACTCAGATCCTTTGGAGTTTTAGTTATCTTTCCAGTCCTTAAGATTTATTTTTTTATGTGTGTGACTCTGCGTGTCCATCCATCTGTCCATCTGTGTATGGTGTGTCTGTGTGTTTCTATATTCAAGTGCAGGTGCCCACAGAGGCCAGAAGATGGTGTCAGATCTCCCAATGCTTGAGTTAGACGTGACTGTGAGGTGCTGAACAGATCGGGTACCAAACTCCAGTCCTCTGCAAGAACAATATGTACTCGTAACTGCTGAGTTATTTCTCAGGTCCCTAAAAAACTCATTTAAGCCTCATTTACATTTTAATTTTCTTTTTAATATTAATACACTAATTGAGCACATAGTGCTGCAGGAGCCAATCCTCCAATACGGAACAAGCTGTACCACACTGGTAGCCTTTTGGTCTTGCTTTATAGATCCTCCCACAGACCCTGCAACAATTATCCAAGTTTTTCTGCTAGTTTCATTTTGTCATTTTGAGAACATAAAATAGCCTAAACAAGAACAACAGCCCAGCTCAGCATTCCTGTGAAGCTCATTACACCGGAGCCTCTGCAACCAGTTCACTCCTTTGTCTCACCCAATACAGTTCTGTAACATGTGGATATGGCACCCAGTTCCAGGTTTCACTATGATGAATAGACTTCTGTAAGCATCTGTGTACAGATTCTTGTCCGAGTGTAAGTTCTCAACTGTCCTGGGTAATAATTAGGGGGGAAATTATTGGGTTTAACTTTTTTGTTTTTTTAAAGAAACTACCAACCTTTCCCAGGACAACTGAGCCAAAGCTACATATCAATGCTGTGTATGCGCTCTCATTGCTCTGGACCCTTGTCAACACCGGCTACTGTAAATATATTTGACCTTAGCCACTCTGAGGATTGTCTATCTCATGGTGACTTTAATTTGCTTAGTTTAGTGACTAATGATGTATATAAGTTTATTTGCTCATTCACCACTGGTGTGTTAGTTGCTCATTTGCCACTGATCTTTATTTTTTACATGTTTTAGATCAAGCTAGACCCTGCCTGTAGGCAGCAGCCTCCCTTGGGCTAAGGCCCCAGATTGAGCAGGAGAAAGTGAACTGAGCACCAGCACCTCACCGTTTGGTTTCCTGATAGCTGCCTCATGCTCCCGATGCTGCACCTCAAGGCACAGTGAAACAGAACTTCACTGTTGAACTGCCTTGAGACGTTCATAAAAATCAATTGTTTGCATCAGTGTAGGTCTGCTTCTAGATGGTTACATTGATCTGCAGCAGATTTCATAAAAGTTTCTATAAAGACCAGAAGTAAATATTCTTTATTCTGTGGGCTACATAGTCTCTTTCTCCACCCAGCTTCAAGGCCACACAATGAAAACAGCTAGAGACAATTTGTAAATGAATAGGCACGGCTCTGTTCAATAAAACTTTATTTATCCAAACAAAAAATAACAGATGGGTGGTGGGATTTGTTTGTGGTCAGTTTCTGACGGGCTCATGATGGCTCTTGGTGATTTTATGGAAATCTACAGTTCAGGTGACCAAGCCTCACAATACCGCCCTTAACCAAAACCGCTTTGGTGATCTTAAACACTCTGCCTTTGCATGTTAGGGTCAGCTATTTTTGTTTTGAATTTTTGAGGCATTAACCCTGCCCTGGCCTTGCTTGTCCTGGGCAAGCTTTACTACTGAATGTTGTCTCCAGAGTAGCTCACCATTTTTTTAAAGCTCTATTTTTTTAATTGGCTTCCATTTAATTTATAGAGTAATCTGGGAGGAATTTCCACTTTAACAATATTCAAGAAGCTGTAAATGAGAAAGTCTTTATTATGTAGTTTTCTAAAGTCTTAGATAGCTTCTGAATGAGTTCTTAAATCTCATTTATTAACCTCTCCTTATTTTTACTCCCAGTGTTGACGGGATCCAGGACTTTACACATGCCAGGCAAGCGCCCTGCAACTAGGCAACACTTTTTCCCAACTTATTCTCAAGTTGTCTATACTCGTGTAAATTGTTAATATCTTCTTTTCTATTCTTTCTCTTTTTTTTGAACAAAAAGATTACTGAAATATACTGCAAAAGAGAATCAGGTGAGCAGACCTTGCTGGTCATTTCCTATCAATCATTACTATGATGAATGTAAAATGGCAATAATTACATCATTTCTTCTATACTTTCTAGTTTGCATTTGTGTATCTTCTCATTTATTCATCACTGTGGAGAGGTGTGCTCTCTTTTGAGTCAATAAGATGCATGTATTAATACCATCATCTGAAGCTTAAAGCATGTTTAAGGTTTGGGTTTAAGTCGTGGGACCCCCGTCAAGGTATCTTTGTCCTTTTGGTAAACCTGCATTAATGTTTCCATTCTACACGAGGTGTTTTCTCAGAACCAGCACAACATGGGCAATTTCCCCATAGAGTTGCTTTCTGGTGGAGAGCTGAGTGCTTGCTGTGTTCTTCGTTATCAGTGTGAACTAAAGCTCCTGCTGGACAGTGATGAAGTGTGTGTGCGTACACAGTCATTGCACACTTCTATCACTATCTAATGAAGTGTGTGTGTGCATACACAGTCATTGCACACTTATACCATTATCTAATGAAGTGTGTGCGCATACAGTCATTGCACACAAATCATTATCTAATGAAGTGTGTGTGTGCATACACAGTCATTGCACACTTATATCATTATCTAATGAAGTGTGTATGTACGTACAGTCCTTGCACTTACACCATTATCTAATGAAGTGTGTGTGTGCATACATAGTCACTGCACACTTATATCATTATCTAATGAAGTGTGTGTGCATACAGTCATTGCACACATATCATTATCTAATAAAGTGTGTGTGCATACACAGTCATTGCATACATATCATTATCTAATGAAGTGTATGCATGTGTTTGTACAGTCATTGCACACTTCTATCATTATCTAACGAAGTGTATGCATGTGTATGTACAGTCATCGCATACTTCTACCATTATCTAATGAAGCGTATGCGTGTGTATGTACACAATCATTGCACACTTCTATCATTATCTAATGAAGTGTGTGTGTGTACACAGTCATTGCACACATACCATTGTCTACCTCTCTACTGTCAAGGTCATGAACTTATACTCTCCAATTCCAGAGGGAACAGTACCTCTGGGCTTCATTTCAGTTTTCCCCAGCTTCCCATTTATACAGCCTTCTCCAGTAGTTGGAATGCACTAGCTTGATACACTCATATGCTCAAGTTCTGCACAAGCAACCAACCATACGGTCATGGGGGTTCAACGTCTTGCTTAGTCATCTGCCATATGGGTTTAAAACCCAGGCAGGGTTTGATTAATTAATGGCTTTTAGACTGAACTAGTTAAAGAAAGAGGGAAAGAAAATAAGAGAGGGAAGGATCTTTTTCTGCCTAATTTAATAGAAAAACAATAGTATTGAACCTTAGTGATTAGGAAATAAATTTCAGATAAGGAAGAGGAAGAAAAGAGAACATTTGGAGAAGAGGTAGACTGGCAGTTTGCCAAAGAAGGGACTCATTGCCTTGACTTGATTCTCTGTGGAATCATTAACAACCCTGCTCATAACAGATCAAAACTCAGTCAGAGGCCAAACAGGGGCTACTACCCACTCCCTATCTTTAAACTGAGTGCTGCCTTGTGCTCCTGACTCATGAGCTCACTCTTCCCATGTGACCTGACAGGTGGGCTGTTGTAATTATCTTTATCTTTTCTGTAGTTATGCATGGCAGAGCTGGTACCTTGAACCTCTGACTCCGACAAAAGCTGATGCAGGTTTGTATGGTGAGCTTGTTGGACGTTTTACTGGTGCCAGTGAGAGGAGGTGGGTTTCCATGATCCTTGTAGCAGCCAAGGTTTCCAGGCACTGGAGACAAACAAAACAAAAGAATTTCACAACATCTGGCTGGTAAGGCTAAGAGGGAACCCTGTCTGTGCCAGGTGTGCTGTCCCAGTGTTTACAGCCCTGAGGGACAACACAGGCAAATGACAACAAGTTCTAAAATGGACCCTCTGGTGCACCATCTGCGAGAAAGTGTGGCATGTAGGTCCCCGTTTAGCAACTTGAAGACATTTATTTTACTTTGCCAATGTTGGCAGAATTTGGTACTGAGGAGAACTGGGGAGGAACTCTTAAGATAGAGAGGGTGATTTTGCTTTGGCACATGGCAGCAATCTCCCAGTAATTCATCAAAATGACAGACATAGAAGGAGCCGGCTGTATGTTCTCTGGGCTCTGTAGGAAACATGAAGGTATTCCTTTGGCCACATACATGCAAATCTACAAGAAGGGTGATATTGTAGATACCAAGGGAATGGAGAGTGTTCAAAATAGAATGACCATATGTGTTTCTACAGCAAAACTGGAAGCATCTATGTCACTCAGCAGGCCGGGGGCTTCACTGTAAACAAGCAGGTGAGGGGCAAGGTTCTTGTCAAGAGAAGTAATGTGCACATTGGACATGTTAAGAACCAAGACTTGAGCCAAGTTCCTGAAACTGGTGAAGGAAAACGATGAGAAAAAAGAAAGCCTGGAGTAGGGCATCTGCCTACTTCACCCAGAGGAGCATGCTTTGGGGGAACTAAGGGGAAGGAGCCTGGGCTCTGGGGCTGTTTCCGACGAATTCATGGCTTAAAGTACAAAAGTAGTAAAAGACCTAGACTCTGTAAAAACAAAACAAAACAGGGAAGTGGGCTGGCAAGATGTCTCATGGGTAAAGGCATTTTCTTGATGACCTCAGTTTGATTTCTGGAACCCACATGGCAGAGAGAAACAACTCCCAAAAGTTGTTTTTTGGCTTTCACATGTGTGCTGTGGCATGTGCCTCCTCCTCCTGCTCCCTCCCCTGCAAAAGAACAGTGAAGCAATCAGATCTAAACTGTTCCAAGGTTACTGGAGGAGCACAGGTGGTAAGCATAGGCGTTTGAGGGCAATCTGGGCTACACAAGACATTTAGACTTTGTTTCAAAAATAAACAAACAGGCAAAAAAAACAAAGGGGCTGGAGAGGTAGTTCCAAGGTTAAGAGCACTGGCTCCTCACCCAGAGGACCTAAATTGGATTCCCAGCATCCAAAATGGTGGCTCAAAGCAATCTGTAACTCCAATTCCAGGAGATCCAGACACCCTCTTCTGCCACATACATACATGCAGGCACACACAGAGATACAACCAAACAACCCCAAACTCCCCAAAGGACCCTAAGTTAGCGTAGTACAGAGATGTATATCCATGTTTACTGTGGAATCAACCTAGATGTCCATCAACAAATGAATGAATTAAAAAAAAGTGACACACAGACAATGGAGTTTTATTTAACCATAAAGAAAAAAATTATAGCTGGGCATGGTGGTACACACTTTAATTCCAGCATTCAGAAGGCAGAGGCAATTGGATCTCTGTGAATTCAAGGCCATCCTGGTCTACATAGTGAGTTCTAGGATAGCCAGGGATACATAGAGAAACCCCCACTCAAAAAAAATAAGTAAACAAAATTATTCAGCTGCACATATGAACTCATACTGGCTGCGACAGCATGCAACCCAAGCCTGGACCACGCCCCACTATGGAGAGGGGAGGCAGCACGAGGTCCCACTCCTAGCTGAGCAGTCAATGGCAAGTGACAGCTGCTGAGGGAAGGAGGGCTAGTTTTCTTTAACAGTGTTGCCCCTGGTAGTTTGAACACACTCCAGTGGGAAAGACCACATATCCATGAAAATGTGTGTGTGTGTGTGTGTGTGTGTGTATATATATATATATATATATATATATATATATATATATATATCAAATCCAATCTATATATGGGCAGTATAGATTGGATTTGATGGGAAGAAAAACAAAAGAGACAGAACACAAAATTGGGTGTGGAGGAAAGGGAGTGGATATGGGAGGAGTTGGGGAAGGGGTAAATATGGCTTAAAAACGCATGAAATTCTCAAAGAACTAATAATAATAAACAAAAAGATAGTGTGTGGGTGTGTGTAGGCCAGAGGACCACCTCGGTGCTGTTCTTCGGGTGCCTCTCACCAGTCTGGAGCTCACCACACCGGCTAGGCTGTCTGGCTGGTGAGTGCCAGGGGTCCACCTGTCTGCCTTGCCAGCACTAGGAGAAATATACACAGCCTGCTATGCATAGCTTTCTGAAAGATATTTACTTTTATTTTTAAGTGTATGTGTGAATTTTTGTGCACCATATACACCTGCAGAGGCCATGGGAGTTTTAGAATGGAAGTTACATGTGATTGTGAACCAGATACGGGTGCTGGCAATCAAATCTGCAAGAGCAGCGATCCTCCTGCCATCTCTCCACTTTTTTTTTTTTTTAAAAAACTTGGACTCTGGGAGATCAAACTCAGGTTCTATGACTGAGCAATCTCCACAGCCTTTTGTATACATTTGAATGATGTAGAAGGGGGACTGTGAGGGGAGAGCAGACTAAAAAGAGGTAGACACAGGAGAGGAAGGAGAGCATAATAAGGAATGAAAATGACCACAGTACATGATATGCTTGAGTCAAGTATATGAAAGTATTTGCATTGCAATGTCTTTATGAATCTTATAAATATGTACAAAAAATAAAACAAAACAAACAAAATGTTTCAGTCACTAGAGGGCAAAACAAGCCCTCAGAACCCCCCTACCTTCACACTGTACTTAAACCTTTGTTCTTTGAAACAGTGAGTGGTTTCCCCAGGTCTTCTGAACAGCGTGCTTCCCCTTTGCTGCAGGAACAAAGAATCACAAACCTGCCATCTCCCGGCAGCATTCATTACCTTCCATTTTCTGAGGGCCGGAAGAGCCAAGCAGGTTTTAATGACCAAAATGAGGGTGTCAGCACAGCTGAGCCATATTTGAAGGATTTGAAGAAGCAGCCCACACTCTTCAGCTACAGCTACATGGCTACCAGTTCCCTCATCACTCCTTCCCTCCCTGGCTTCCACTGTCCCGCCAGAGGCCCTCTGACTCATATCTTCCTGTAAATGCACTGGACCCACATGGATAATCCAGGATAATCTCCCCTTCCCAAGTCTTTAGCCACACTTGCACAGTCTAATGCCATTTAAGGTCACATTCTCATAGACTTGGGATTATAAAATCTATCTTTGGGGGGTCATTATTCAGCCTACCACAGGGAGCATATCAGTGTTTTACAGCCACATGCTAGATTGTTTGGCCTAGTGAGGCAAGAGGAACATAAATATGGGTACCAACCATGGTAGCTGGTGTTCACATAGCCTCAGGGATCTTCTATGGACTAAATACTTATACACCACTGTGATGTAATAAGAAATACACTTGGTTTCTACCCACTTCCTGCCACTTCTCTAACCCTCAAGACTCTGGGTGACTCCTTTCTAATGAGGTACCTCGTGGTGAGCTCCCGGTTAGCCTCATGGCGGGGGCTGAACACCAGGAAGACCAAGCCACAATTAGTAACTTGGAACGTTCAGCCCCCCTCCCCCGTCCTCCAGGGAAGAGGAAAGGGTAGAGATGGAGTCAAGGATGTGCCCACCTGAAGAAGACTCTGTTAGGACCATTAGAGATGGAGTCCACGGAGCTTCTGGGGTGATTAACATATCCATGCTGAGAAACACTGCACTCCACAGGGACAGACACTGTGGGGCTCAGAATCTTTTCGACCTTAACCCTACAAACATCTTCAACATCTTCAACCTATCACATCCTCGCCAACACACCAGAGAATGTGTTCCTTGAGTTCTAAGAGCTACTATAGCAGACTACCAAACCTGAGGAGGAAGTCTTAGAAACCTTTACTTTGTAGACAAGCCTAGAGACCTACATTTGTGACTGGCATCTGCAGCAGGGTGTGGTCCTGCAGTGCCAAGCCTTTAACCCACGGCACTGACTCTGGGTGTTCAGAGGCAGGACAGAATTGTAAGCCATCTTGTTGGTGTCTAGAGAGCTGAAGGATTGGCTGCTGGGAAAAACTCACCCGTCTGGTGTCAGAGTAAAGCCTGGATATATGGGAAAAAGATTGGTTTCTTTCCTTTTATCCCCAATTTGTATGCTGAAGTCTGAATAAACAGTGTGAATGGACTTGGAGTGAGGCCTCCAGGAGGTAATTAGATGAAGTCAGGAAGAGTGAGCTCCCACAATGGGATAAGAAGAGGAGACAAGAGCCCATTCTTTCCCTGTCATGTGAGCACTCATCAGAACACAGCCATCAACAAGCAGGGAGAGGGCCCACACTGCACACTGCAGACTCGACTTCCGGCCTACTATGTTTATGGAGCTGCTTGGGCCTGAGCAATTTTGCTTTAAAAAAATTATACTACTTCAGGGCATTTTAGCACTTTAATCCCAGCACTCCGGAGGCAGAAGCAGGTGCATTTCTGTGAGTTCAAGGCCACCCTGGTCTACATCATGAATTCCAGTCATAGTGAGACCCTGTCTCTCCCAACCTCCATGTGCACCAAATAAAAACGTATCTATTGCCTAAAGCAGACCCCTGTCCCTAAAGTTCATGCCACATGTAGGCCACCCTAGTTTATACCTCTTGTTGAGACAAGGTCTCAATACGTAGCCCTGGCAGGCTTCAAGTTTTTGAGGATTACAAGTATACAAATAGGCCACGGCAAAGGCCTGTGGCAAAGCACTGAGGGTGGGTTGGGCTCCAGCCAATAGCACACATAAAACTGCATCTTATTAAGAGCGTGTGAGCCGGACAGTGGCTCTTTCCCCTTCCTGCTTTCAAATGAGACATTCCAGCCCTGGCAACAGCTTGGCTGCAGCTTTGTAAGAGACTTCAATGCACAAGACTAAGTCAGACTAGATTTCTAACTCAAAGAATGTGTGACAATATGCCACATTAAGCTACTAAATTTGGGAGTAATCTGTTCCAAAG